TCTTCTCTTCTCTTCTCTTCTCTTCTCTTCTCTTCTCTTCTCTTCTCTTCTCTTCTCTTCTCTTCTCTTCTCTTCTCTTCTCTTCTCTTCTCTTCTCTTCTCTTCTCTTCTCTTTTCTCCTCTTTTTTTTTTTTTTTTTGTTACATACAATTGCATTGAGTAGAAAAGACTTCACTGTTATCTGTTAAGACAGCTTGCAGGGGACCAAACTAATCTCTGCTGCAGAAGTTCTCCAAAAAGAAATCACATTTTCCTTGTAATGCAATGTGACAAAGTGATATAATTCAGTAACTGTTTATAAGCAAGAGGCAAACGTCACAGTCTTGACTGATTATGGAGATATAAGACCAGGGAAGAAATGTTACACCAGGAGTCCCAAGAGCTCGGGCAAAGCTGAAGGCAACACATTACTGAGAACAAGTTGTTCAAATTGCAATGGATGCAGATGCTTTTTCACTAACCTAATTCTGAAGCCCATATTTTTTTAGTCTTTTTTTTTTTTTTTTTTTTTTTAACCTTAGTGATGGTTTTATTTGAGTAAACACTAGCTAGGACTTCCTGTCCTAAACTTAATGATTTAGGAGTACTAGCCAAAACCTGATGTTACTCCAACACAACTGAAAGATGAAAATGAAAAACAGAAAGCAAAAAGCGTGCGTGACAGAAGCTAAAGCTGTACTGCCTATCAGAGATGGATGACTTGGGTGTTGTGCCCACTTCTCTCCTCTGGCACCGTAAGGGAGCACAGTCCACTGGTGAATGCACTGAGACTCTCATTGCCTAAACCCAGTTCTGCTCAGTCAGACACTTAGAGATGCCTATGGACTATCTCTTGTTGGCTCTACCAAGCTAGATTTTTCAATATTTTATCACATTATCTTTTCTGTGACATCATTCCATTGGTTCTCACAGGTACCACTTTCAAAGTTTATTCTCATGCACTGACAAACTCTCAGGGACAAATAATGGGAAAAAAAAAAAAAAAAAACACAAAAAAATTAGGTTATAGAAAACAGCAAGAGGTCCACTCTGTTCTGTAAGTGATTCCATATAATTAAATATATCACATACACGCACCTAAGCTGAAAGGAAATTTCTGTTTCAAAGAAAATGTTCCAGAAACACCATGTTCATGAGATGAGAGAAGACAACTTTTTTTGGAGCACTCTCACCCATCTCAGTAGTCCTGCTTACCATCGCAAACATTATTTCTTTGGCATTGAATGTTATTTTCTTCTTTTATTTGCAATACAAAAGAACAGTTCTGTGGTTTTCCTGAGATATATGAATGAGTTGAGTCATCTTTGCCTCTGATAAAGAATGAAGGTAATATGCGAAGAAGCAGCATATTGAATAGATTCATTCTAGCTATGAATGATGCATGAAGGCTCTCTTTCTCTAGAAGAAAAATGTGAAGCAGCTGTCAAGACTCAATACTACAGTAAGTTGAAGCATTTTTCTAAAGGCATCTTTGTCTTTTCTTTGGTTTCAGTGATTAAGCTATTCATTCACTACCTCAAAAATATATTTCTTGTCATTATGGATAAAATATAATATTTTTATTTCTCTCCAGTGATCTCAGAAAAAGCATAATCTAAACCAAAACAAAATCAATTATTTTCCTTTTCAGCAGAAAGTGGATAAATCTCAAAATCACACTTCCACATGGATCATCAATGAAGTGATTTTGAACAATATAAATTTTGTAACTGTCTAATAAAACTCAAAGCAAGAAAAAAAGTAATACAAAGTCCAGATGTCCAATTTCTGTATTTTTTTATATAATATCTAAAAACATCAGAAGAAAATGTCAGATGCGAGTGCAAACAAGCACTGGTCTCTTCCTTTGAGCCTCTTCTCTCTCCTTGTCCCGCTGATTAATTAAAAAAGAAAAAAATAATTTGCAGCTGGCGCTTTTTCATTAACAAGGGTAATTTATAAATGTAAACAGAGATTGTGCTTCCAGACGTATTTCCTGAGATGCAAAATGTGAGGATTGATATCAGGACAAAATAAAGAGGCCAGAATGGGCAACCCCCCGCAATTACAGCAAAAGAAAATGGGGCTTAGAACAACCATGTAAGATGTTTCCAAGAAAGACTGTAGTTGTTCTCAGCCGCCCTTAGCAAGCTCTTTTCTTATGTAAACATGCTTATTCTGCTGGTAAGGAGTAGATTCTCAATACACCTTAACCATTTACTGTGTTTATAACACAGAAACCCCCTGGAAGCTGCCTTTTTTAAAGCTAACATTTGTTATAAATATATCTCTTCTGAACAAGGCCAATGTGGACTTATCCATAGGATCCTCCTGTCAAATAAATCCTCCATCAAATAAATATGAAGGCTACTCCAAAAGTAATGCCTTCTACTTTATTATGTTGGCCACAACATCAGAGTTGAATGTCAGTGGTATGGTAGTAGAAGCTGAACCTTCCTGCCAGTATTCCATTACATGTTGTTGCCATGTGACAGACAGCAGCAGAGAGGCAATCTGACAAACTGGCATCTGTCATGGAAGTGTGTGTGGAGTAAAGGTGTGCCATTGAATTCCTCCATTCAGAAAAAATGGCAGCCACTGACATTCACTGACACTTGCTGAACATTTATGGAGGCCAAATAGTGGATGTGAACACAGTGAGGCAGTGGGTAGTGTGTGTCAGCAGAGGCAACAGTGAATCACCTCTGCTGGTGCAGATTTTTATGAGTGTGGAATCTAGGCTCTTGTTCAACACTGGCAAAAATGCAGAGATAATGGTGATGACTATATAGAAGAACAGTGTTTGGCTGATGAGAATTTGCTCTACCAGACAGTGTTATTTATCTCTTTGTATCTGTTGTTGTTTCCATGGACATAAATAGGAGGTATTACTTTTGGAGCAATCTACATATATGAGAGTAAAATGTTATTGACTCAGTAGGAGACACTTAGCTAAAGGCATTCCAATTTTGAAATGAAAGTTCGAGCAACAGAAATGAGAAGGAATCCCTTCTGTGAGCCTTGCTGCGTCCATTGAGCAGGACTAGCAAACCTCATAGGACCACTCAGATTCCCTTGCTGCACAGAGACCAACAAAACCCAGTGAGTTACATCACATTTTTCTTAATCTTCCATCAGGCTATAAATTATCATGCCTCTCATGAAAAGGCTGTTAGCCTAATTCTGGGCAAACGTACATAACCAAATTGCTGCAAGCATGATCAAGTCAAAAATATTCTCTCTCCCAATCCCTGGACCCAAAAAACACCGAACATTTACTTTCTGCCAGGAATAAACCCTATCATCCCTGTGGATTCAGCCTTTCTGGTACATCTTAGTCAAACTGATTAGGCCAACTTCTTCTAGAGCAGCCCCACAGTGTGGGGTGATGGCAGCAGAAATGATCTATGGTTTTAGTCAGAGAAAGAACCCTGTAAGCACAGCATTAACATTCACAATGAACATTTGTGGGCAAGACAGAAATAAAGATAGAGATCCATTTGAAATAATAGGCTTTTTCCAATGATTGCTCCTCATCACTTAAGAATACATCAATCTTGTGTATCAATCCCACCTTCTGCTACTGCAGGCTGTCGTGTCATATATTGCTTTTCTTGGGTTCTGTTCTGTAAGAAATAGTTAATGCCTACAGTGAGAGTGTTTCTAGCTTATAATTTCAATTTATTCATGACCAGTTTATAACCATTTCCTTCTTAGCCAATATTGTCCCTTAGCTTAACTAGCTCTTTTCCCTTC